AAGTTAAAATTATGCCAATACTCTTCCTATCTTCTTTCTTCAAAGCCCAATTTTTCTTCTATAGAATGTCAGAGGGAATACCACTGCTTGCACAATTCTGATCACAGATTATGACTGCTCTGCCAAGTGCTAATTTGTGGCTGATTTTTTGACTGCTTGTTTCTTTACTGTTGTTAGTTGATCTTAAAAGGCAGATATCCCCATTTTGATATCTTCATTGCTAATTCTAAGGCTTGGTGTTCTACCTGTTGCCATTAGTTCGATCTTCTTATTTAATTTTAGTCCCATTTTTCACTTGCTCCTTAAGTTTTATTAGTAGAATTTGCAGAAATTTTACCTATTGAGGTAGTGTCATCAGCATAGTGCAGGTTATTGATGTTTCTTCTTCCAGGAGTAAAATCATGCCCATCTTCCAATTCAGCTTCCTTCAGTATATGTTCATCATATAGTTTGAACAACTGAAGGGAAAATATGCAGCTTTGTCACACTCCTTTGGCAACCTGAGCAAATCTGTTTCATCATGTTCTGTCCAAAATGTGGCTTCCTGACCTGTATATAAGTTTCCTATGAAGATAATAAGATGTTTTGGTATTCTCATTTTTCTGAGAACATTCCACAGCTTCTTGTTTTTTCTCTCTGAAACTATTAAGTTCCTTTTTTGAGGTTTTGAGTTTTCTTGGCCTTGGCTTTCCTGCTTGGCAATTTCATGGTTCTGATATCTAATTTGCTTTCTTCTCTTTCTTCATTTATGGCAGTGTCTTATGTCTTTTTTTTTAGGCTCTTAATGACTTTTTAAGTCTTGCTTAATCTGTTAATAACTTTTTAAAGTTAAATCCATAACTTCTGTGGTTTTCTATCAATGAAGTTCAAGATCTCAGAACAATTCCTGATGTACTCTTTGAAAAATGATAAGTATACGATCAAGATCATGTTGTGGAAACTGACTGGCTTTCTTCTTTAGCTTAACTTGGAATTTACACATGAGCAGTTCATTATCTGTTCCAAGCCAGTACCTGACCATGTCTTTGATGCTACAATTGACTCCTGCACCTCCTTTTAGCAACAATACAAACAATTTGATTTCCATGTACTACATCTGGTGTTATCCATGTGTAAAGGCATTATTTTAGTTGTTAGCTATGAAGAAATCACCGGAGTGGCAGAAATTGTGACGTTAGTCTCCTGCTTCATTTTGGTTTCCTAAACTATGCAATCCAACTACATTTTCCACTTTCATGTTCCAACTTTGGTATTCCAGTCTCCAATCACAAACAGCACATCTTGGTTGCACGTTTGGTCAATTTAACATTGAACTTGATCATTAACCTCCTCTTTTTCTGCATCGGTGGTTGGAGCATTTGGAGCTTAAACTCGAATGATTGTCATATTAAAGGGTTGTCCACAAGTCTAATCAATATTATTCGGCCATTGATTGCTTTGTAGACAAGTAGTGTTCTTGCTATACCCTTTCTAACTATAAAAGCAACTTTGTTTCTTCTTTGTTTTTCACGTCTTGAGTAATAAATAGAGTGATTTTCTGACTGAAAGTGTCTGATCTCAGCCTGTCTCAATTCACTGATGCCTAAGATATCAATTTGTAGTTGTTTCATTTCATCTTTCACTGTGTTGAGCATTCATGCTTCTTACATTCTATGATCCTACTTGTAATTCTATCTATGCAGCTTTGGCATTTCTTTCCCCATATGCCACCATCAGCAACTAGACATCCTGAAGGCTTTAATCTAGATATGTCATAAACACCATTAGTACTCTGATAGATCCTTGTTTCTTCCTCAGTAGCATGTCAAGTGCCATCCAACTTTGAGACCCATCATCTGGCACTATATCATCAGTCATTTTATATTTTCCGTTCGTATGGTTTTCTTGGCAAACTATAAGAATGGGTTACCATTGCCTTCTCCCATGCAGTATAAGTTAATGCTTTTGCCATTGTTACTAAAGTGATCATCTGCCTCCAGAATCTTTCTATGTTGCTGTTGCCCTGCATAGGTTTTTGTGCACTTTTGCTGGGCAGCTGAATGACTTTTACATGGAAATATATACTCTTGGCATATACACCCAATGTTCTTCATGCATTCCTCACATAAGTACCCCCCTATTACGATGAAGTAGTGCAGCAGGACTTAGGGTGATGGAATTAATGGCTTCTCTGAAAAATATCCTTATGTCTGTTTAGACTGGATATATTTAACATGCTGTACAGTCATACTTCTAGATTTCCAGTATGCCAACAATAGTCATTTATTAACCATGATAAATCTTGGCAATTAGTTGAGATAATTTCTTGCTATTTGATTAGAGTAACTTTTAACTTTAGTTGGATTTGAATTGCCAATGCCTAGATTTATTTTTTCCTTCCAATGCAATCACGACTGAGTCAGATATAAAGCAGATTACGTAGATATGGCTGTAAGAGGAGACAGAAGAAAGAACAAATGTTTGATTGAATTACTTTGTTATTCAGTAATGTTAGTTGGAACTTAAATAGTATTGTTGCACTTTTTAAAAAGGATAATTCTGTATTTAAAAATTAAGTAACAAAATAAAAATAGAGCTGACCTTTCATGATCAATAGTAACAGAGAAAATGTGTTCTAGTTATTTTGATGGGTGCACTCATTTATTTAAATATACCCATATTTCATATATATTTGACCTGCTGATTAACCAAATGAAAGAGATTTAGAACAAGAGATTGGAACAAAATTGTGGGCAGAATTGGAGAAAAACAACTCAAGCAATGCATTTTCAACTTATATTAATAAAATTTGATTAGTTATAAACTATTATAAACTAAATTTAGTATAAGATCAACATAATTCCAATGTAAGTATTAATACATGCACTGGAAAAAGACAACAAAAATGTAGAAAATAGATATTGCAATACTTGGAGACAACAAAACAAAAGATAAACAACAGGAGAAAATACAAAATACAAAGACCTGCAAATAGAGTAGAATACATGTCACCAAAGAAAGCAAAGATAGCACCGATAGTAATAGGTACTTGAGGTAATCAAAAAACATCTGCAGCACTGCCCTAGACAAACCTGGTGTGTAATCTGCAGGCCCTCCTGCACTCACAATTCCTGCTCAAGGAGCAAGTGGCAGTTGTGGCAGGAGAGCCTTTGCTCAGTTTCAAGTTGTGTGTCACTTACATCCTTTCCTGGACGGAAAAGCTCTCTTTTCAATCTTTCACGCCCTGTTAATCTCCCAGATGGATTACTCCAATGTGCTTTATATGGGGCTATTTTTGAAGAGTATTTGGAAACTGCAACTGGTGCAGAATGCAGCATTGCAAAAGTTTTGGGTATCCCTAGGATAGTGGATTTAACACCTCTGCTATGTGAGTTGCATCGGGTGCCAGTTTGCCTCCAAGTCCAATTCAAAGTATTGATAATCACCTTTAAAGCCCACTCAGGGACCAGTATACCTGAAAAACCATCTTGTCCCAGTTACATCTACTTGTCCCATCCAGTCAAGGAGTTTCAACTGGTGGGATCTAGGACAGGGGTCATCAACCTTTCAGACCTCAGGGACCACTACATTCATAATTTTAAATCGGACCACTAATATGATCTGCCTAATTAGCGGCTGGGTGGGCGTGACTAGATGGGCATGTGATATGGGTGGGCATGGCCATCTCATGTCACTCATATCAAGGGGCGCGTTGCCAGCCTCTACTTGCCCCTCCCCTCCCAGCCACTCTTCGCCTCTCCACCCGGGCTCCTTAGGGCCCCAACAGGAAATAGTTGTTGGAGCTAAGCAGCCACCACGAGAAACAGCAAAACAGCTCAGTTCAAATTGGATCTGACTGAGAAGGAGGCTCAGCAGAAGCACCTCATTGAGGGCTATGAGCATAGGCTTTCCAAGCAGATGGAAGAGCTGCAGGAGTGCAAGGCCAGGTACCGGCACCTGGAGGCTCAGCAGGCTGAGATGGTCAGCCAGTTCCAGGCCATGATGCAGTGCCACTGGGACAAGGCCCTCCGGCTCTTCGCCACCAGCGGCGCTTCCCTCCAGCCTTTGCCAAAGTCCTGCACCAGGAGGTTGAAGTAGACTCCAAGTCAGAATTTCTGCCTCCCTCCAACCCACACAAAAAGATCCCAAAGGGGGAGACTCTGCAGCAACACAAATGTTCATTGCACATATCCGTCCCAGGGTCCGTAGTTTGAGGACCCCTGACTTAGTGCAATATAAAAAATTCAAACAATTTTCCTGTGGACCACCAAAATTTTTTCACGGACCACCAGTGGTCCATGGACCACCAGTTGGTGACCACTGATCTAGAAGAAGGGCCTTCTCACCTGTTGCCCTGCCCTATGGAACATCTTACTTCCAGAGGTGAGGCAAACCCTCACTCTTCTTTCCGTTCTTTAACATAAGAGTATTAAGACTTTGCTTTGCCAATTAGCATGGAGGCCTAAAAGCCCTGGGGATGGCTGGTGTCCTGAGAATACTCCCACTGCACTTTTACCCTTCTACTCTTTTTAATCTGATTTATCTTCACTTGTAGGTTTTGACCAGTGGTGGGCTGCTGCTGGTTCGGACTGGTTTGGGCGAACCAGTAGTTCTGACCAGCCCCTGCGCTATCCTGTCCTATATAATCACCATGATTTTGAAGCCGCAAGCACATGCACGCTCACTTTTTTGGTGCTGGGTGAACCAGTTGTTACATTATGTGATGCCCACCTCTGGTTTTGACCTGTTTTTAACTCTGTTTTTAAGCTAAACTTTTATTCATTATGTACTGTATATGATTCGATTATGCTATTGTAAACTGCTCAGAGTCACTAAGGTGAGATGGGTAGTGTAGAAATTTAATAAATTTTAATAAAATAAAATAAATGCAAAGAGCTAATTAAAAAGATGAGCTGTAAAATCTTTAGGATGGTAACGTTTAACCACCATGTTGTGTTTCTGTTTCTTCCCTACTCAGTGCTCAACTTCTAATTGTAGACTTTGTTCTTCTCCTTGTCCAGACAGTTGCTCAGCAGAACCTTTCAACATGAACAGTACTGACAATGGGATTGGTGGCATTTGTGCAATATGTGGGGACCGAGCAACTGGCAAGCATTATGGTGCCTCTAGTTGTGATGGATGCAAAGGTTTCTTCCGACGCAGCATACGAAAGAGCCATGTTTACAGCTGCAGGTAAGAGTAATATAACTGCTAAGGACTTCTTATTTCTTTGTGTTATGTTGACATATTTCTATTCTATCTTTCCTCCAAACCCAGAACAAAGCACATGGTGAAGACAAAAATAATATTTGAAGTGAGGGCACAATAACACAGTTGTGTATAAAAGGTACCAATCTCAGTCCCTGATATTCATAATTAAAAATATTTGATTTGGGAGCTCATACAAAAAGAACATACATTCTAATTTAAAATCTGAAATTAAGCCATTGTTACTAAAAATGGTAAAGCCAAGAAAGCTTCAGAGCCTTTCAGGAAAGCTTTCTAGAGTAGTTCTGGCTTTCATCAGACAAATCTTGGAATAATTCTAGAAAGTGGCTACAAAAATGATTGCATAGCTAGATGCTCTATGCCATGACATATCTGATGACAGTATTTGGAGCATACTAGGTCCAAGCAACCAGAGTCGCTCATAAACAATTTTATTGACTTCTCCCTATGTTACAAGAATCTCTTCAGATTGCTTGCCTTTTTGTGAGAATAAGAAGATAAGGCTTCCTGGATCTTGGGTGAGGTCAGGCTTCTGCCACTTGTGGCTCAGTGTTTCCAAATTAGGTCCTTGCTTGACCCTTCTTTCAAGCCTAGCTGGCAGGTTCCCAATAGAGAATAAATGGATAGTGTTGCATAGAACATGCAAAGATAAATAAGGTAATCATATGATCTGAACTATTGAGTCTTTGAAGGTCAGATAGCATTTTGAACTAAGCCTCGAAATATGCTGGTTGTCAAACAAGTTTGTCATATTGATGTAATAAATTTTAATTTATTAATTATATTTCCTGCTTTTCCATTGCAGAGAACACTCAAGGCCATCCCACATAAAGCACATTGCAGTAATTATCTCATGATAACCAAGTCATAAATGTCAAAGTCCAGTTTTGACAGAAGAGCCATAAGTGAAAAAGTAGTTCATTTAGCAAAACCACAACATTGTCCAAGATACATTATATGGATTGTGTTTGGTACTTACTGAAGAATTTAAAATGTGATTAAACTGGAAAAAAAGATTAGCGAAGATCTCCATGGATTTGTACCATAGAGGACACGTAGCCATATTAGCTGGAAATGTGTAGTGCCAACACATGTGGGTAAAAACAGATTGGGAAAGGCTGCCAGGTTAGCATTAATATGTTTAACAAATGGTAGTTTTTCCCTTTTCTGAATTAGATATATATATTTTGGCTGCAGGAGGACAGGAGACAGAGAGACAAAGAGCCTTGATTCCAACAAGACACATGCCTTAAATTAGCTTCCCCCAATTTTGGAGCATTCAGATATATGATCCTCAGTTCTCAATAGTAGCTATTCTGAGCTAGTGAATTCTGAGGAGTGAAATCAAGAAAGCTGGAGTGGGGTGGAGAAAGCTTTCTTAAACACTTTGTGTGTTGAGCTACATACTAATTAGTGTTGAAAAAGTCACTGATGCACCAAAGGAGCATTAACTTCTGGCTTTTCATCTTTGCTTCATTCTAACAGAACTTTACAATAGAATAACTGAGTTGGAAGGGACCTTGGAGGTCTTCTAGTCCAACCCCTGCTTAGGCAGGAAACCCTATACCATTTCAGACAAATGGTTGTCCAATATTTTCTTTAAAATAGTGTTGGAGCATTCACAACTTCTGGAGGCAAGTCATTCCACTGATTAATTGTTGTGACTGTCAGGAATTTTTTTCTTAGTTCTAGGTTGCTTCTCTCCTTGATTAATTTCTGTTCATTGCTTCTTGTCCTGCCCTCAGGTACTTTGGTGAATAGCTTGACTCCCTCTTCTTTGTGGCAACACCTGAGATATATTAATGTTAAACTCCATTCCAATTTTATTCCAATTTCCAATGTTAAACTCCATTCCATTTTATTTTCAAGTAGCACTAAATATAGATTTTGATCTTCAGAAATTACTCCTCTACCAGCTTTCGCTACTTCTTGTTGCCTTACTGTGAGTTCTTTGTTTTATTTTTTAGTTCTCCTATCTCTGTTATTTTTCTTTTTCCTCAAGTATGACTAGATATGTGCTATAAAATGCCCTCTGGCATTTTGTTTTACCTTTTTCTCCTTTTTTGAGAAGGTTGACTAGGATTGCTGCCGGGGTTAAAAAGTATTTTTTCCTCCACTATTACTATTACTATTGTAGATTGAGGCCTCCTTTTCAAGATGTTTTGTTATCTTGAGATTCTGGCTCAAGTAATCACAATTTGTATGTGTTACTGTGGAAAATGGTGAGTCTTTTGCACAAATGTTTTTGGATTTCACTTATGGTGAATCAAGGATTATGTATGTGCCTAATTCTACTGGCTCATTTAAAACACATAGCTCATCTCTTTATACCACTCTTGCTCAAAATGATGCTCTAATGTAGGGGTTCCCAACCTTTTGGACCTCAGGGACCACCAAGTTCATAATTTTAAATTTCGCGGACCACTAATAAGAATCCAGCACGCCGCTTGCTGAAGCACCTGGACTCCCAGAGACAGGATGGGGTCCTTCAGGCACTCTCCCTCCTCTCTCTCTCTCTCTCTCTCTCTCTCTCTCTCTTTCTCCCACTCTTTCTCTCGCATTCTCTCATTCTATCTCCCCCCTCTTTCTCTCTCTCTCTCTCTCTCTCCTACTTTCTCTCTCTAATTCTCTCTCTCTCTCATCTCATGGGCCAGCCAGTGTCTTGGGGCTGAGAGGAAGTCAAGCATCTCCCTGAGAGACCGAGGTGCGCGGAGCACAAAAAAGGGCCGGAAGAAGTGTGGGAGCGAAGCACTACTTGAACTTGCACGGCATGAGCATTCGCCTTGGTATATTTGCACCAGCCAGTGGCCAAGGCAGCCCTCATCTCCTGCTGCTTGGGACTAGGAGCGGTAAACAGCATCTGGTTCGGGGAGCAGCCAGATTTTGCTCTCCATTGCGGATGCCAGATTGGCCCCCTGCAAGCTCTCATCTCTCAAGGAGACCAACCAAAGTTTCCCGCACCATTTCAGGGAGCGCTCCTCGAGAGACAAGAGCTTGCAGGGGGCCGATATGGCATCCGCAATGGAAAGCAAAAATCGGCTGCTCCCCGGACCTGTCACCATTTACCGCTCTGAGTCCCGAGCAGCAGGAGATGCGGGCTGCCTTGCGCCGCAAATATATGAAGGCAGAATCCTGATGCTGCACTTACAGCAGAGAGAAGAAGCCAGATTTTGCTCTCCATTGCAGACACCAGATCGGCCCCCTGCAAGCTCTCATCTCTCGAGAAGCCCGACCAAAGTTTCCAGTGTCACTTCAGGGAGTGCTCCTCGAGAGATGAGAGCTTGCAGGGGGCCGATGCAATGGAGAGCAAAATCCGGCTGCTCCCCGGACCAGACGCCATTTACCGAGTCCCAAGCGGCAGGAGAGGAGGGCTGCCTTGCGCCACTGGCTGGCGCAAATATACCAAGGCAGAATGCTGTTGCCATGCAAATGAAAGTAGTGCTTCACTCCCGCAGCTTCCAGCCATTGCAAACGCCGCTTCTTTCTGCTTATGGTGCCCCCTCCCCCACCGCCACAACAGCACCATTCATTTCAGACGGCGAGGGCTGCGCTCCTTTTTCCATATTGCACCACCTGCATAAATGCAAAAATACGAACCACCAAAATTTTCTCACAGGCCACCAGTGGTCCGCGGACCACTGATTGGTGACCACTGCTCTAATGGTATTCAGTAGGCAAGCCCCATCTCACTCTCTAATCAGGATATTTTCCTGTCTCTTTTATTATTTAAAGAAACTGCATTGCTTTTGCCCATTGTTCTTACATGAGTTTCTAACAGTGTCCTGGTATGAAATAATGATGTAGGGACAGGCGGCCTCAGTGTTTATCAGGCAGGAAATATTTCTTAATTCTGATGAGAGTCTCACTGACAGATTAATTCATTAATTTGCTTAAAAGATATATTTATCAATTGCTATTAATAAAGATAAATGAATCTTTTCTGATCAAAGAAGTATATCTTGGATCCAGATCAGGGTACACATAATATGCAGAAATGATGCTTTAATCTTTTGAGTGACTATTTTATAGAAGCATCATTTTGACCACTTGAAAACTAACAGCTAAAGTAGATAAGCCTTTATTCTGGTCTAATAGGACTCATTTCTTTTGTTTTTTTGCTCCTGATCATATTCAACAGCAGGAAAGGATCAAAGGGAGACCAAAAGAGTTATCCTAAGCATTCGTGAAACTGAGAGCAGAATTTATATGCTTTGCTTTCAGTAGATGATGAATAACCTAATGGGATTTTACTTGCCCATCAGAAGGAATTATTCCTGTTAGAAGAATGGCAAAGAGAAATGTTTCAAGTCTGATTAAAGAAAAAATACTGGTGAAGGTTGAGAGTCAAAGACATTGTTTTGACAGTGCCCATTAATTGTTTCACTTGTGCTAATCAGGATCCTCCTGTACTTGTACTCTAATATATTTACCCTTGATTCTGTCCAACAGATTTAGCCGGCAATGTATTGTTGATAAGGACAAGAGAAATCAGTGCAGATACTGTCGCTTAAAAAAGTGCTTTCGTGCTGGAATGAAGAAGGAAGGTAATTAAAAAAAAGAAATTATCAGGAAATAAAATATGTAAGAATATGTACTAGACATTGATATATCTTAGCTTGAAAGGAGGGATTTTTTTAAAAAGTTGAAATATATATTTTATACATTGCATTGTTATGCAATTTTTGTTAAAAACACTAAAAATTGGTGTGGTAATTTCAAACACATCTAATCCAGTGATGGGTTTCTACCGGTTCGCCCCGGTTTGGGGGAACCGGTAGTGGCGGTGGCGGGAGGCTCCACCCACCCACCTGTATGTCATCACGGACCCTCTGCGCATGCACAAAAGTTTCTGCGCATGCGCAGAAGTGCTGCGTGCAACTGTGTGCTCACAGTTCCGAACCGGTAGTGAAGGTAAGTGGAACCCACTACTGATCTAAACATATATGATTCAGTGGTATCATAAGACAAAAATACATTTCCCCCAGCTTTGTAAAAATAAGTAGTAGTGTGGTGGCACCTATTGTGACTTTATAGATTCAATGCTGGATTTAGATAAAATACTTGAATTAACTGAGTCTGAGGAAATATCCTTTTGGATGAATTTTAATGGCATTTCTTTTGGCCTCAGTTTTTCATATATAAATTGAGAAGAGTAATGATAATTTATCAGCGATGGTATGAATTATGGTGTATTATTATTAATACTCTTACTTCCTTATAAAAGTATTGGTTGTTAATACTTGCATAAATTATACAAAATCTAAAGAATGATTGATGGAACTAGATAGGAATAGTAAAACTATGCATTGAGAATCTTGTCATCTCATACATGGAAGAGAACTGTATGGTTTGGTAAAACTACCAGTAGTAGCAAATATTGCACTTAGATAAGTAAAATATGTGTTTAACTGGATTCTATTTTTTTTAGCATGTAGAATTCAAAGTAGGATTATGTGGTTCAAGATTGAAATCTATGACCATAGAGTGGATCACTGAGGTCAGACGTTTAGTCCTCAGGCTAATCATATTTCTGAGTATTTACTGTACTTAGATGTTTTCTCCTAAAAATGAATGGCTGAATGATGAAAAGTACACAACAAGGTATTAAAGAGAATTGTGCATCAGATCTTGCTGTAGACTCATCTCAGTGTCTCTTAATAGTGTCACGTGAAAAGATAATTGCTAACAGTTTATCCTACTTTAGGAAAAACAATCCACAGTGGATGGATGGAAATTTCTTATTTTCTAAAATATAAACATGAGAAGTTTCTTCCATGATTGTTTCATGTCTATATAGACTGGTGTTCTTATAGCAGTATCAGACATTTTGAAGATCACAGTTTTTCTCTCTGGAGTTTGCCTTCTGCCCATACAACATTACAGGATTATCTGGTCATTTTAGAGATTACTGGCATAGTAAAATCTCTCTGTCAAGAATTTGATGATGTCAGGCACAAAACATCAAGACCACATGTAAAGTTCCAGTTAAACTGATTTATTACTAATCAGGCCTATTCACAAGAATTTATTCAACTAGGTTTTAGCACTATCTTGGCATTAGATAAGGGTCAAAGGAATTCAAAAGGGATTGGACATAGTCCACTTGTAGCTATGTAGAGATTGTAGGCTGATTTTCCTTTGACTCTGCCCCAGGTTCTGCCACTCCTCTTACAGATGATGTTAGTATGCCAGGATCTTTAAAGATTAAGCAAATCTATACACAAACTCTTGATCACCCTATTACTTTTGAAAAAGAATAATGCCTCCTTCTCTACTGTCACCTAGTCTGCAAATATGTCTGTGGATTTCTTTAAATTATCAGAAAAATCACTTGAGGTATTATTGTGCAAGCTATCCATTTCGATATCGAAGAACAATTTAGGTTTGACAATTCATTGCACCCTGAATGTCTCTTTTCTCCAAAAGACTTGCCTTAAAAGTAATTAAGAAGAGACTCTGAAAGTGCAACTGGGAAGACTGACAGGCAGAAAGGCTATTTAATATCACCTGACATCCCCAATTCTCACCAGATTGGAGCAAATCATTAATTCAGCTGCTTTACAGCCAACGGGGAAAATATTTCATCCAGTCATTCGACTTATAAGGCCACCTCACCCATATAGCAATTCTGGGCTATGAGGCCCTTGAGCTTTTTTTCCCTATTAATAACAGAAGAAGCTAGAAAGGAAGTTTTGAACAACAAACAAGAGGAAACTGGTTCAACAGTTCCTAGTTGTAGCCACAGAGCCTGTTTTTCATTAAATAAACAAACAAATAAAATTTTGGGGAGGGAAGAAAGAAATGACTATTCACGCCAGCTGCTCTTTGTATACAAGTCTAAGATTTAACCCTATTAGTAATTGAGTTGAGGAACATTTTGGATAAGGAGGAAGCTTATACATTTGCATCATAAACAAACACAAATCCCATCTGTTCTGAATTCTGTTTGGAAAAGCTACATAGTGGTTTATTTTCAAATCCAAATGAAATAGCAATGCCAAAGCCATTAGTAAAGTAAGAGTAATAACATTTAAATTTCTTTTTCAATTGCCATTGACATATTCAAAATAAAAATGTTGTCAGCTCAGTTTCAGATTATTCCTAGAAAACTGTTCAGTTTGCTTATTCTGAGATGGTGCATGAGAGGCAGTGAAAGAGAGCAATGCTTTATTGCTTAATTTCATATAGTGAATCCTATGCTTGCTTTTTTAGAAATAAGTTCTATTGAGTTCAAGGACTCATGCTGCCAGATACATACTCAATAACACTTTGCCAAATGTATCTCCTCCAGATATGTTGGATCTTCATTTCCATTGTCCCCAGCCAGCATATACATTGCTGAAACATCTGTGGAACACGGTGTTGTAGAAAGGCTGAAATATAGGATTACAACATTATTGTTTTCCTAAAGAAGAATTTCATAATTCAATTAAGAATTTCATCTGTATAAAAGAAATTATCACGACAGTCTTCCAAATAGTCTCTTGACCACATTTTTGCAATCTTTATTGTTCAGGATCTGATGCTGTACAATGGCTATTTGAGATTTAATCATCCGAAAACTTCAGTCATAGAATGATTTCTTGATATTCCCATGACTCTATTGTTTTTCATATCTTCCCTCTTCACCTCTCAAAGTCTTCCCTACCCTTTCTGACTCAAGGTTAATTTGGAAACTTGCCTAGGATGTGATGTGAAGAACCATATAAAATTAAAGAAATTTAAGGGAGAAAAACTTACCTGGTCATGAAGAATTATATCAGTGAATTCTATGCTTGTCTTTCATATTCTTCCCAGATTTTCATATTTTAACAGCACTTCATGCTACAAATATGATTTCATGAAACACACACACATACAACAACACTTTCAAGATGAATGATATGCAAGCTAAGTATTTATTACTGGGAAACTTTTCAGTTTTTTAAAAATTACTTTTTCCTCCCCACACAGCTTTTCTACTTAGCTTGGCAAACCAAAACAGGTGATGATCTCTCTGGTATAATTTTATATTTAAAGCTTTTAACTGCATTTTGTTGTTCGGGTACTGAGTTAAGGAATGAGAAAGATAGCATTTCTCCAGTTAAAAAAAAAACTGGGGCATCATTCTTGATTCATGTCTACATGATCATTTATCACTTAGTGTTTATCACTGTATGACATTTCTTATTATGACCTTAATAAAAGGCCCATCAGAGAATGTCCTTGGCCAAGAATCTAGTGTGTCTTCACCATAAAGTGTGTTCATTCTTCATATAAATTGTGAATACTGTATAGTAAGCTGAACACATTTTTTATTGAAGCATTGGTGCTGCTTATAACTTCTTGGATGCAGATTGCTTCACTAAAAATCACAAATAGATAACTGGAAATACAATCACTGCTCATACAAAACGTGATGAGGTTCTATATGAACGAAAAAGATACATTGCCTGGAACTATGCTTTTCTGCCCTTGATATGCCCTTATGCATAAACTCTCCTGGGGGTGGGTGGGGAACGTAGCCTTATTCCTTTTAATGGATATTCCTTGCTGCAGTTTCAGTCTCCTTCTGTATATTCTTATATGATTATTGTATCAAAAGTGCTTTTTCAAAAGGCGGCTGGACTGTTTTCTCTTGAAGAAGAGGAACAAATTGTTTCATTTCATCCAAATCATCCAAGAAACTTCATCAGTTGGTGGGGAGGGAGGGATGGAGGATAGGTAAGTCCACAAAATAAAATGATCCCACAGCAAAAAAAAAAGTGAATGAAACTTATGCAAAGTCTTTATTTTCTTTGCTGTGAAGAATCTAGAATGTCTTCAGTAAAAGGAGTCTGATGGACCCGAAAACTGAAAGGCAGGAAGGAATTGTCACCTTACCTGCTTTCTCTTATGATGAATTCTGCATTATGTTTTAAATACTGAATTTAAATGTCTTAAAAATATTTTGTAAAAGGTAAAGATTCCCCTTGCACATATGTGCTGGTCATTCCTGACTCTAGGGGGTGGTGCTCATCTCTGTTTCAAAGCCGAAGAGCCAGCACTGTCCAAAGATGCCTCCATGGTCATGTGGCCAGCATGACTAAACGCCAAAGGCGCACAGAACTGTTTAAACTCTTACCTTCCCACCAAAGGTGGTCCCTATTTTTCTACTTGCATTTTTTACGTGCTTTCGAACTACTAGTTTGGCAGAAGCTGGGACAAGTAACGGGAGCTCACCCCACTACGTGGTACTAGGGATTCGAACAACTGAACTGCCGACCTTTCAATCGACAAGCTCAGCGTCTTAGCCACTGAGCCACTGTGTCCCTTTCAAAAAATATTTTGAGAAAACCTGAATTTTGTGTAGCATTTCTAACATGTCATATGTGTTTAATTAAGCTAGTTTGAGAAATGATGGAAAAAAATCTGCCTATCATAAATTGTGAAAGTGGAAAGATTATATTGTGTACTGTATAGGGAAAGTGCAATCTGTTTCTCAGACTTCTTACAGCTCTTGGCTTTCAACATGTTTTGTTTTTCTACATACTATGTTCTACCCACAACAATGTAGGATTTCACAATAGTTTCTTGTAGTTATCCATCCACCCTCCTTGATTCAAAAAAGTTAGCCAATGTACTCTTGATGTACTCAGAGATTTTTTAGTGGGGAACAGGATCATTTTAATTTTCTTGCTCTTTATTACAGTATTTCTTTTCTCTGAAAAAAATTTGAATTTCTGCTGATACTTTTCTTTGTATGTGTGTGTGTGTGTGTGTGTGTCTATCAGTGGTGGATTCCTCCTGGTTCGGCCTCGTTCCACCGAGCCAGTAGCGGTGATGATATGACATCACCGAACTGGTTCTGGCTCCCCCTCCCGCCCTCCACCCACCCCCACATTATTCTTACCTTTTATTTGGCCCCACCCCCAATCTATTGCTGCCTCCTGAGTCCCAGCTGATGGCTAGAGGGAAAAAAACTGTTTAAACTCTTGCCGCAGGGCTTCAAAGGGCCGCCCTACAGCTGATCAGTGTTAAAAGAAAACAAATGAGTAGACCAGTGCCTGCAAAAATAAATGGGTAGACCAGTGCCTGCAAAAATACATGAGTAGATCAGTGCCTGCAAAAATACATGGTTAGACCAGTGCCTGCAAAAATACATGAGTAGATCAGTGCCTGCAAAAATAATTGGGTAGACCAGTGCCTACAAAAATAAATGGATAGATCGGTAAGGCTCTGCAAGCAGTTAAAAGCCTGGTAGATCAGTACCTCTGCTAAATCCTAAATAATTGTCACATGACCATCAAGCCACATCCACAAAATAAGCCACACCCACAGAACCGGTAGTAAAAAATTTTAGAACCCACCCCTGGTGTCTATGCATGCACACATGAGGTAGAATACTCTAGAAATACAGATATATTGTTCATGCATCTCTAGTAGTCACATAGAAGATATATTTCAGCAAGTACAATTTGTCATCACAGGAAATTTTGTCATCTTTGCCATTATTAAAGGTGAACTAGCCCTCTTTTGCTTGTATCCAACAGTTCTATATTGATTATGTAAGGGCCAGAATTCTTAAACTTTCCTATCAGTTTGATGACCTATAAAACCACAGGGCTAGACTTGTTAAATGTTATAGAAGACAGAAAAAGAATGTTTACTGGCTATTTAATATTTCAGTCTATGCTTCCATGCAAATAACTTGGCGTTTTATGATAAAAAAATATTTACACAAGCCATTTAGATTCAGGCTTTCAATATTAAACTTGGATAATAAACAAGAACCAAAATGAATGAATCAGCATTATCATAGCCATACCAAAATAGCTTTAAAATTTTCAATTGAAAACACTGAGAAATATCCATTAGAGTAAATACTCGTAAATGTTGAAAACAAAGAGCTCGGTTAATTTTCATTGGAATAAAAAAAAAAAGATAAAGGAGTCGTTGCTGACTATACGGGGTAGAGCTCATCTTCATTTCAAGGCCATTGAGCCAGCGCTGTCTGAAGACATTTCCACAGTCATGTGGCCAGCATGAAGTGATGGAGCGCTGTTATTTTCCCACCAATGTGGTACCTATTTATCTACTTGCATTTATGTGCTTTCAAACTGGTAGGATGGCAGAAGGTAGGGTGAGGATGGGAACTCACTCTGTCGTGTGGCGCTTGTGTCTCGAACCTGGACTGCCAGCTTTCCAGCTGATAAGCCCAGCATCATAATTGCTGAGCCATTGTTCCATCTTTTATTGGAATATAATTAGGTGCTACAACTAAATTATCTCATGTCCTAACAAGTATATTTCTGTTTGCAGACAGGCAATATCAGGTATTCCTCAGAAACATGAATACAGATTAAAGCAAATCCTGGGCAGTGTCTCAGTTCCCCCTGGGGCCTTATGAGATTGATAACATTTCTCTCTCTCTCTCTCTCTCTGTGTGTGTGTGTGTGTGTTTAAAAAATTGCTTTTTAAGTGCAGGAATTGTTTCTTTGGTTTTTCTCAAGAATTCAAAGTACTGAGACAGAAGGTATAAAAAATACTGGGTGGTGAAGAATTTATTTTCTTCCAACCTGAAAAAGTGTGGGTAGAGTATATTAAACCTATTGTAGGATAAATCCATTTTAGTGCACAAGTATTGGAAGTTTAAATGTCTCTAAATAAGCTATGATATGATCGACTGCTTCCCCAACATATTTTCCAAGTAATTTGCTTCCTTGTGAATTACATTCCTCTGAAATCTCTATTTTGAGATGACATAATTACCTTAAAATATTTTTTAAATAATCACCCCCCTCCCATTCAAATCTTTTAGCCAGCTGATTAATTAAAAGGGAGTAACTGTTAATTCTGCAATGTACTATCACTGTGCCTTTCGTTTCTTCATCAACATATTAGTCAATTTATTTCAATCTTTTTTTAAAAGGAGTATGTTTTTCCTGTCTTATGAATCATCAGCCACTAAGACAAATTAGCTTTCATTTGTGTGATTCTATGCATGTCACCTCGGGCCTCTCTGTGTGTATGTTTGCCTCTTAGTCTTCTAAAAACTATATGGACAGGTCCCTGCAGTTTTCTTTGCATGCACACATATTCAGACACACAACCAATTTTTTTTAAAGTGTGCTTGCATGCACGCATGCACACATGCACACACACACACACACACACACACACACAGAAAACACAGCTTCCTGGGTCATACTATCATATGTGGTGGACATGCTTAAAAGCAAAAAAATATTGGACAAAAATACATACATGGCTGGAAAAAATGATAAAGTAGCATATTGATTTAAAGCCAGAAATATTCTTGTTGGGGATTTTACCCAAAAACACAGTAAGGAGAATGCATATTTAATTATTCATATATTAATTGCAGCTAGAATTGTATTTGCACAAAATTGGGAAAATGAAGAGATCCCCACAGATGAGAATGTGATCAGGAAAATATTAGAATGTGCAGAAATGAATAGATTTAACGCTTGCAATTAAGGAGAAAGAACAAACTGAATATTATGTGACATGAGACTTATTTTATCAATGGTTAGATAACAAAATGGAAGCTAGAAACAGGGAATCAAAGAAAAAGATTAGTGAAATAAAGAAGATATGTTAAGAGAGAGAAGTAAATATGTTTAATATTATCATTTTAACATTATAGAATTAATGCTAATGTAATGAATATTGCTGTAAATTGAAATTATCATTTTACAAATATATTAGTATCCAGACAACACACTGTTTAATTGAAGATAGAATTATTATATATTTTTTAAAAAAATAAATAAATAAGAAAAGAACGCAGCTTCCTGTTCAGATAGTGTTTGCTCTAAGTAGAAATTAGTAATTTAGGAACAATAACAATTTACAATTGCCAGGATAAATGATTAAAACACAAGTGTCATTCTTCTCCATGGCAAAATATAGATAAGACCAACCTTAAATTTATATAACTTTGTAATACTACTTTGAAGCACAATTCAATGCAATTCTTTGCATGCAACCAAATATGAATACCTTATGTTTTCTTGTTCTTCCACTTCTCTTCCTCCAGCTGTTCAAAATGAACGGGATCGAATAAGTACCAGACGAAGCACCTCTGATGGCAGTGCTCCTCCTTCTATTAACACACTGTCCCAGGCTGAAGTGCTTTCTCGTCAGGTATAGTAGTCTATCATCTGTGCCTAAAGAGTCACCTCAATCTCTTGAATACTCTCGGAGTCCATTATTTATAACCATATCTATTCTTTTTGCATTTGTAATAACGAAATAAGGCAAGAAGGCTTTCTGAAGAGAATTCTAATTTTATTCGGCTTATTTTGTAATATCATTCAATGCACTTTTCACATTCAATATAGTTAACTGAATGATTCAGGTGAGAAGGATACCATTATCGCCATCAGGTATAATCTGTTAGGAATCTTTATGAAATGTTTCTCCAACCACTTGGATATGCCTGAAGAAGTCAGAGGAAGGTCAAGGACTGCAAGATCTATTCTAAATATCTTTGCTCTATTGGTGAAAACTATATTACCGTAAAAATGATATGATGTGATATAATATATAAACCCTTACTATATAATACATACACATCTTCCTATATAGCAGGAGATAAAATACTTCTATTTATGTTTCCTTTTTCTTACTCTTTTTCTTTGTGCCTGAACCAACAGACATTTATCACGTCTTCTTTCTAAAACATTTTGTTTCCCTTGAAATTGCTTTAGCTTTGACTCCCAACTCATCAGGTTTTTTTTCTTCTACTACAATCCTTTAGCTGCTTCTGAACAGTTGTTTCTATTTTACTGCATATGAACAGGATGGGTATCTATCAAGCCTCCCTAATCAAGAAAGACACACAAATATACTTCTAAGCAATTTCCTTTATTGTTCCATACCTATAGTCAGAAATCTTAACCCAACTAAAGTAAACTACTTGCATCATTAAAGATATACTCTGAGAACCTCTAGAAAAGACCTGATTTAACCAGGGGTGAAATGCTCCCAGATCGGACCCAATCGCCACCCGAGTGTCATTACTTCCTGGTTTTAACCAGGAAGTAATGTTTTTTTACCTTCTGGGCATGTGCAGAAGATTTTGAGTATATGCAGGTTTTGCGCATGCACAGAAGGTTTTGCGCATGCACAGAAGATGTGCGCGCACATGTGACATGTGTGCACGTGCGGGGCACGTGTACTTCCGAACCGGTAAGGAAGGTAAGTAGATTTCACCACTGGATTTAACCCTTTTCCTTCCTCCTAACCAAACAATCTAAACTTTGCTGTCTCTTATTTCTGCTCTTCCCCTTTGGAATCTGGAGCACATTTTGCCACAGTATCATCTGTGCAGCTACAGATGCTCTTGGAGCCCCACTGTGTTCAAAAAACAGCCTAAAGGGTGACTCTCTATTGAAACAGAATTAATATGTAGGCCTGATCTTTGACCCCATTAAGCAGTTTTTGTGAGGTGATGGTAATTTTGAACCATCGTTAAACAAGTAGTTGTAAGTCAAGGGCTACCTGTAATTTTTTTTTTAATGATTAATGGAATTGTTAACTATTTTTAAATTGTATTTATTTTATTTCATGTTATTTTATATTTCTGTTTTTTATGTGTGCTTTAGAATTGGTAGATTGGAGGATTTTATAAATTCATCAAAAAGTAGATATAATTTTACTCAACCTTTTTCTGTATTTTCAACCATCATCTTTCTATTTTTTTACATTCTTTACATTCTTTCCCCTTATAGTAAATCCTCGACTTACAACTATTTTAATGAATGTTTTATATTATTCTAATTTATTTTTAAGATTGTGTTTAATAATGAACAAGTAATTTAAGAAGTAATATATGGAGAATGGAATGGAAGCATATTAAATAATAAATACATGAGTTTTGAATAAAATTTCTGAATATACTCAGAAATAGGAAGTTAATAAAACAGAATTTCTGAATCCTGAATAATACAGATTTTAACTTATTTAACTTAATTTATATCTACATTTATAAATGGTAACTATTATCAAGCCTGGTATAGCCTTTTGAATCTTTAATCAATTTGAATCTTTGTGTCACCCAGATTCCTCTTTCAAGTTTAAATGTTGGCACTACTGACATCAGTGTTAAGAAAATTGCGGGTATTAGTGATATTTGTGAATCTATGAAGCAACAGCTCTTGGTTCTTGTAGAATGGGCAAAATATATTCCAGCTTTCTGTGAACTACGGCTGGATGACCAGGTATGAAATAATTAAAGACCTGTTTTAGATGCTTTCTCTCAGTTTGGGGAGAATATCATTCTATGTTTTAAAATTAAACTAAGGATCTTTAAGCTTATATTCATGCAGAGCTGGATATGGAATCTGAGAAAGGAGTGTGGTAGGATTCAGTCCCAGGGTAATGTCAGCTAGGATCAGATTCCAAAGTTCCCTGCAACATAGGATGGAGCCAATATATTTACCCAAGCCTTCAGCATAAAGTCAAGGAAAAATATGATTTTTGGAAAAAAAAGTATGGTTTTGGAAAATCCACTGTTGCATTGCAGGGAAAAGAATTTTTTACTTTTTGATTAGAATTTGATGAACTTGTTTTCAGTTGAGAATATAATTCAGTAGAAAACCTGCATATGAAAGTTCTATCTTTCATTAGTCAATTGAAGTCAATTGACTGACTTCCCACACTTCAGTGAAACCCCAAAATAAGGCATCATGTAGAATTCCGATTATTTTCAAACTGGGAAAGCTTCAAAGTGCTGGAAAAAATGTAATTAAAAATAATACAGCTGTATCACCAACAGTCAAATTATTCTGAAAAGAAAATTAAAATTCTTAAGCATGTTGAGAATTAGAAATATATTTTTTCATGTTCATTCCCATCCTCTTTGACCCACCTTTGCCTTCTCTCTGCCATGCAGAGAAAAAAGAAAATGTATGTATGACAAAATATACATAGTTGTAAGCCATGTGTTAAATAGGCATTTAGTTTTCACTCTATGACAAAAACCCAGATTATTTCCTTTGCAAGGAAGGATTGGGAGTGTGAACCTAGTGTGTTCAGGAGGGATAACTACATCAGGTCTCAGGAGACCAAGAGGGAAAAATAGTTGAATTCATGTTGGTGTGAACAAACTATAGTTCTATCTTTCACTAGTCAACTGTTGTTCATAGCTATTAACATTTGTACACCATAAATGAAGATAGCATAGAGCAAAACAACATATAGCAAAAAAAAAAAGAGAGAAAGAAAGAGAAATACTAAATTTCAATTCAATTTAAAATAAATAAATAAATAAATAACTATTTTCTGTTTATAAGATAAGTTAATGTGACTATATTTAATATTTTTAATAATTTCCTCTTCTGGTCCAAGGTTATTTAGACTTATGTTCATGTAGTCATGAATAAATCATGTGGAATTGATTAGGGCTTGCTTCTCAATAGGCAAACGTACAGTATGGATATATTCTATTGTTTTTAAAAGTCAGGAATGATTCAAACACAATATATTTATTTATTAAACTTATATGCCACCCATCTCTCTATCAAGAACAACTCTGGGTGCCTCACAATACATAGCACTTCCTGCCACATTAGACAGGAAGAAAATGGCTGTTTGTGATGAGTTTTGGAAGTCTCTGAGGGGCATATCCAAGATTTTATGGGCTTCAAGAAGTTCTATGAATCTAGCTATCATTATATCACCTATCCACAATTAAGCAAGGTATTGCTTAAGGTAATATGAATTCAGTGTCATTGCCTGATTTTCATGAAATATTTAGGTATCAAAAATGTTCAGGAAACAAATAATCAGGAAAATGAATTCTTTAAAAGAAAAGATAAATTTTCAAATAGATTTTTGAAGTAAAGCTTCACTTCTTCAATATTTTTTTTGAGGGGGAGGAAAGAACAAGACTTTAAACATAATAGGAACTGCTATAAGCCTGATTATCCTAATTCAGTTCTGATTTGCTTTAATGTTCTGTTTTAATATTTTATGTACATTTTGTACTGATGTTTTATCTGCTGTTTTTTTATATCCAAGGTTGCCCTGTTAAGAGCACATGCTGGAGAACATCTTTTACTTGGAGCAGCAAAAAGGTCTATGGTTTACAAAGACATCATTCTTTTAGGTTAGGTTATATTTATTTTGGCTTTTTATCAATAAAACCCTAACTATGTTTACTGAAAAGTATGCATAGGACTTCAGTTTGGAGTGTTTTAATCTGTATCCAGAATTAACAGTACATAACAAAACAGGGTTGAGGGTTTTTTACTAAATCCTGAGGCAGGACTCTTCTTCTGCATAAAAATAAGAATTCTCTTTACTTTAAAAAATGAATCAGAGTTTACTATTGCTACCATACATTATAAATTTTATTTTGCAGATGAAGTAGTTGATGTTGTTATTATTGTTGTTATAATTACTCCAAGAGACATTTTACTTTGCGAAAAACACCCAAAATAATACTGCTTCTGGACCTGTTTTCCTTTTCCACAAGCATGACCCTTGAAATGAGGGATTTATTTCTCCTCATGATTGGCAGAAGAAAACATTTTGGCTCATTTCCCAATCCATTACATATGGTTTGCATAACCTTTGACTTATTCCTTTTCTCTGCTATTGGACATTTTCCTTGGAGATAAAAATATTCATATGGCCCTGCTAGACCCTGCTGGTTCATACAGGAGCTCCCCTCCTTTGCCCCCAATACTTAACTGAAAGTTGAAAAGGTTTCTACCATCAGTAGGTAACGTCTTATTCTCAGCTTTGAACATATAATCACAACCTCCAGAAATTGACCACAGGCAAATGGAACATGTAGGATTTTGTTCTTCAGAGCAGTCAAACAAATGCTTTTGGGAAATCTGTGACAGGACATGAATTTGCACTGTATTTGCCTTTCAGCTGTTCTATATATAAATCTACTTTATCCAGATTTGTCTTCAAAAGTACACATATTTAGATGAGTACATAATTATGAGATGAAATGATATATTTCTATGGTTATATAATTAAGCAGATTATTGGTGGCAGATAACATATGGGAAAAAACAAATTGAGGTATATTTATTCATTCAAATGTCCTGGGATGTGGAAATGGTAATTGGCTCTGTAGTTTTAAGCTACAGATATCATTAATAATTTTGACCTGATTTTATTTCTTAAGGTAATGATTTTGTCATCCATCGCAACAGTTCTGAAACTGAGATTAGCAGAGTAGCAAACCGGATCCTGGATGAACTCATTAAACCATTTCAGGAAATTCAGATTGATGATAATGAATATGCGTGCCTAAAGGCAATTGTATTTTTTGATCCAGGTATATTTCAGAATTTCATTTCCAAATGTAACAAGTATAAGTATAAACAGAAATATTATGGGTCATCTAGTTTGTCATCTAGGTCTTTATATGATTGGGATTCACAGGATTTTATTTTAACTTATTTTGAAACATCAGCACGCTGGCTGGGAATTATCTGGACAACATCAGATTTATAATGGATATTTTAGGTTTTCAGTAAAACTTTAATCCTCGTGCCAGTTGAGAAATGAAAAGGTTTTATGACAGCCCTGCCTTAGGTGTGTCACCAACTGCTAAAGAAAGGACTAACAGAAAGAGAAGGCAGCTTTGGAAACTGATGGAGAGCAGGCCATACATTTTGCCCTTAACTGCCTATGTGTGAGACCTTAGGGTTCCCTCCCTTGGCTGGCCTTGAGAGCTTATCTGTTGCCAGATTTTCTGTCAGTAACATATTTCTTGCCCCTAGCTCTGGATTGTTCAAGATAAATCCTTTAGATTCAGTGTTCATCCTGCTGGTATCCTAGGCAGGTACAGATGATCGTATGTATGTATGTATGTATGTATGTATGTATGTATGTATGTATGTATGTATTTATATTTCACCTTTATTATTTTTTATAAACAACTCGAGGCAGCATACATATTCAATGTTCATTTATTTGTTTCATTCAATCATCTGCAGCTTCATTCCAGAAAGTGTCAGAGCTTCTTCCACAACAACATGGCTTAATATTTTCTGTGACAGAAATAATATTAAAAATCTTAAATTAGGAAAGTGCTTCTAAGCATGTGCAAGGCTGTTTTTCTTTGCTCTTTATAATCACATGTTATCCTATTTGGACGAAAGGATTTCTATCCAAACATAAACATTGCTGAGTTTATGCAATCTAACTTTTTTAATCAACAAATTCTGTATGTTGCCAGTACAGAGAAAAGGATAACCGGGTCTTTAATGCGGTGGCTCTTTTTTCAGCCTTTCCACTTACCATAAAGGAGGTTGGAAGACTGCCATTTTCTGTCTTTTTTTAAAAATTAAGGGAAAAGAAATTGTGATGAAACTGTCAGGGCTGGTTGGAAGGTCTTTTCTTCCTACTTCTTTCTTTCTGTTTTTTTACAGTTCTTCATGAGAATTATTCCCCCCCCCCAATAAAAATAAAAGCAGGTAACCGAGTTCTCAGTAGTTCTCCCCCCCTTTTTTTTCTAAGTCTCTTTGAGGCTTTATTTTTTTCTTATTCAGAACCATTAAGTATATTAATAAACAGCTTATATGACATGGATAACTGGAAGGATTTAGTTTAGTTCAAATTGCCTGGGATTGTTCAAGGCTTAAAATATCGTCATCTGGTTAATTGTGAAGGTTAGTTAACTTAGCAAGTTCACATGATGTGTGAACTCCCATCCAGTTAAACATAACATGGTAAAAGGATCTCTGTGATCCGTTTGTAACACTTCTTCACTCATCTTCTTAGAGCCAGTAGACTCATTACAGGAGAGTAATTCTGAGATTCAATTAAGTTCTCCAGTTATGTGTTGTATATTTATGTAATGTTTCTCTGCCATTTGAAGATGCAAAGGGACTGAGTAACCCAATGAAGATCAGGAACATGAGATTTCAAGTTCAAATGAGTTTGGAGGATTATATCAATGATCACCAATATGACTCCAGAGGTCGCTTTGGAGAACTCCTGTTGCTTCTGCCTACAGTCCAGAGTATCACCTGGCAAATGATTGAGCAAATACAATTTGTAAAACTGTTTGGTATGATTAAAATTGACAGTTTACTTCAGGAAATGTTGCTTGGAGGTGAGTAAGTTGATTAAATTACTGTATTTTTCGGAGTATAAGACGCACCGGAGTATAAGACACAACTTAGTTTTTGGGGAGGAAAATAGGAAAAAAAAAATCTGCCTACCAAGTATTCATCTGGCTAGCATCCTTAGCCTGGTCAGCTTCAGCACATTAGTTTGCTGGTTTTTACCCCCTGCTTGGGGAGAAGCAAAGACAAAAGCAGGCAAACCACGGAGATCACTTCACTCGCTAGTGGCTTGTTAGGGTTGAAAAAAAACTTCACAGCTGAGAGTCGTAGGGAGCAGGCAAAGCGCTTCAGTCGCTAGCGCCTCATTAGGGCTGAAAAAAAGCTTCACAGCTGAGAGTTGGAGGGAGCAGGCAAAGCATAGATTGCTTTACTTGCTAGCGCCTTGTTAGGTCTGAAAAAAAGATTCAAAAAAGCTACATTCTGAGTATAAGATACACCCAAATTTTCAGCCTCTTTTAGGAGGGAAAAAAGCAGGGGTGAAATGCTCCCGGTTCGGACCGGCTCGGGCAAGTAGGTAGCGATGGCGGCGGGCAGTTCGGAGAACCGGTAGCAAAAATCCCTGCCCCCGCTCCCCATGTCCAGCTGAGCCCCGCGATCATCAGAGCCTTTTTTTTCCTTTTAAATGGCTCTGACCAGCCAAGCTCTGACATCCCAGCTGAGTTGCCTGCTAATCAGGCAACTCACCTTGGATTGCCAGAGCCATGTAAAAGAAAAAAAGTTTCTTTTTTTCTCCCCTCCCCTCTCCCAGCCTCCAGCTTGCTTACCTTAGCTGCTGATCGCATGACGATCGCAATCCATGCATCAGCAAGCAACTGAATCTCCCTGCCTACAATCAAGCTAATCGGTGAGCAGCTCTTTCTGCTTGCCTGCCTTCCTGCCTAGACTTGGGGATTTCAACTCCCAGCAAAACTGGCTGAGGAATTCTGGGAGTTGAAGTCCACAAGTCTTAAAGTTGCCAAGGTTGGAGACCCCTGTTCTATTGGGTAAGTTTTTTTCCCCTTTGGGAAAAAAAGCTCCTTTGGGAGCTTTAAAAAAAATAGTTAACTGGGGTTTTTTTTAGTTGTTCTTTTTTTAGACCTAGCCATTTAAAGTTTAGGAAGTTTTAAATTTAGCTGCTTTTATATAAAAATAAAAATAAATTAAAATAAAATAATATTTGTGCAGCTTTCTGAGATTTAGTGTGTTTCTGTAGTGTTTCAGTCTAACTACACAAACACACAAAATCTCACAAAGGTGTATGTGGAATTTTGTGTGTATAAAGTGTGAAAGTTGGTTTTTTGGGCTTTTTGTGGCTGTGTGAGGTTCCTGCTTGTTGCAGGGGCCATTTTGGGTCTAGCACAGCTGCTTTTACATTGTGGGTGAGCCAGTTGTGTTGTGTTGTGTTGTGTGTGTGTAAATTGTGTAAGTTGTTTTTTTGGGCTTTTTGTGGCTGTGTGAGGTTCCTGCTTGTTGCGGGGCCATTTTGAGTCCAGCACAGCTGCTTTTACATTGTGGGTGAGCCAGTTGTGTTGTGTTGTGTTTTGTAGGTTAAAAAAGGGCAAAGAAGTGACATTGACTTGGCCACGCCCACCCAGTCACCTTATCACCAAGCCCCGCCCACTAATTAAGCCACGCCCACAGAACCGGTAGCAAAAAATTTTAGATTTCACCCCTGGAAAAAAGTACATCTTATACTCTGAAAAATACGGTATGCTCATGTTTATTATACTGAGAGAAATTATAAAAGAATTGGCCAAAGGTTTGAATCAGTACAACATGGTTTATACATATATAACATGATGGGTTCTAATCTTTGTTGTGTTTAAACAAGTTCATTATTATTACAAATTAAAATTAAAATTCCTCAGAACTTCTAAGTTTATGAACTTCTTTTTCATGAACAACACTGATCACCTGTGCTTTCATGTTTAGCTAATTGTTAGATTGTAGCTAACATATACTGATTTTCATATTTACCTTTGTCCCTGTAAATGAGATGCTAAATTTCTTTTTGATTAGAGAAACATACTTTGGATAGTCACAACCCATTCACTTGCATTGATACTTATATGATGCCAATGTTGCAGGTACATTTAATGATGCTACTAATCTCCAGTCAATTCATCCTCATCTAGCCCAGGATCCAGTTACTGGGCAAACTCTGCTTATAAGTTCAGTAACAGCTTCTGCTCATACAGAACAGATAGGTAAGTTGATTAACAGTGGGTCATTTGGTTATAAATGTATTTAGTTAATTAATTACTAAATAATGAATTACTGTTTAAATAATTGTTTAATTAATTAATTAATTACTCTTACTTTTGACAGTAATCTCAAGGAATTTTCTTTCCATAATTCCACATATACTCATGTCATATAGAAGAAAGAAATCTTTTTTCTTCAATGCCAGTTGGTCCAGAAATTATACAGAAACAGATCTCTATTTCTGTCAAAATGTCATTGAAATTGTTATCATCCCCAGACACCTTCCAAATTCATTATTTTGCTGTGAACAGATAATTTTTACTCATAATTGCTTTCAACAATAACAATATGGCAGCCTTTTAGTCTGCCAAATTGTGATTTAAATGATTGTATTTTTATTGTTTTGTTGTCCAAATTTAATGAGATTTGGTTTTTTTCCCTAGTTTTATAAAAAAAATAATGTTTTCACATACAGTTTCGGGATTCATCAGGTGATCATTTTCATTTTAGTATTCTGTGGGATTTGAAATTCAAAATTTTGTTGCATTTTTATTATCAAATTGATATGGACATAATATATCAGACAGTAAGGCTATAAAAAGAAAATATGATTCACAATACTTGCTGATAGTTGATAATTAGATGAAAAACAATAATCAGCTGCAAAATATAACTGGAACTCTTAATGGAAAACAATAGAATTCACAATATATTTAGAAATTTTAAGATTACTGGACTTGGTATTACTAATTTTGCAAAATACAATCCTATTTGGAACAGTGTACATTTTACTGTGATACTTCTGTTACTCTTAGGTTCTTGGCTAGGTCCCAAATCATTAGAGTCAATAGAATCAACAAAGAGCCTGACACTGATATTATTTGGGTCATATCATCAAGATCATCAAGATCATCATCATCATCATCATCATCATCATCATCAAATATCAACATAGTGTTTCAATAGATGCTGGGCAGTTATGATTACCTCATAACATAGTTAAGATATACTGGAGTGTTTCTTGACATTAGGGATAGACATTATTTTTAGGACGACTCTACATTTTTTCATGTCTAATCTGTTAAGGATTCTAGAAGATGAAGCATGATAGGACCTGAGTTAAAAATAAACAGATAAAACCTTTCTTTCTGCCCTTCCACATTGCCCATCTGTTCCTAAAATTTGCACTCTCTTACACACAGAAGAAATCTGAACAAATTTTTTTTATAGGAATTTGCCTGCTTTTCATTTCTGTTTTAAGTTCGAGGGTCCTGTTGTGATTGTCATTTGCAAACCATCCAGATTGCAGGATAACTTTAGGTACCGTGATGGACCTTTGATTCTTTCAGTATTATTGCAGCTGATTTAGTGGAATTAGCCAACAGTCAGATTACTTAATTATTGGATCCTACTTCAGTGCTGTACCAAAATGTGTGAAAAATAACAAATAAAAGTTGTGGTTATTTATAATTCAGTTCAGCCAATGCTGGTTATTGCTCCCACACCCACTCCATACTACTAGCACAGCTTTGATATGATTATTGATAATTTCTTTTCAAATTCTTTTCCAGCAACTCCTGAAACTCCACTACCTTCACCTCCACAAGGTTCTGGCCAGGAATACAAGATATCTCCAAACCAAGTTACAGTTATTTCGCAGCACTCGCTTCCAAAACAAAAAACATTGTGATATTGATCAATGGTTCTTTTATATTACAAGCACTGCATTAACAATCTTGACATTGAAAAACTCAGGGTAGAGAACTTTGATCCAGATAGAATAAAAAGAGCTTTGCTTTTGTTTGTTTGGTTTTTTTTATAATTTTTGCTTAATGCTTGAATTGAGATATTTGTGGATGTTAATATTTGAAAGCTGTGCCTTCTTTGCAATGCCTTTGAATAATCACTGAAGAGCATTAATATGTTGTCCCTTTGTATTGTGTCATCTTAACTATTAAATATGTGTAGCAGAATGCAAATCTGATTTCAATAAAATTACTAGATAAAATATAGAGATAATGAAAAAGCAAAGCAAGCAGTTTTAACAATTAATCTAAACAGTTATTTCATTTTCTTGAATGCAGAATAGAGGTCGACTGCCAAAATGTTTCTACAAGGATTGGCATGATGACTCTATGTATCATTAATGAACCCCTTGAACATAATAATTCAGGGGTGAGGTGCTACTACAGAAAAGGTTGTGACTGCTGGTACTTGTTAACCAATGGATCCACGGAGCACTCATTCCTAATTAGCGGATGGGTGGAAACTAATTAAGGAGAGAAGCAACTTAGAACTAAGGAGAAATTTCCTGACAGAACAAATAATCAGTGGAATAACTTGCCTCCAGAAGTTATAAATGCTCCAACACTGGAAGTTTTAAAGAAGAGATTGAGTAACCATTTGTCTGAAATGATGTAGGGTTTCCTGCCTAAGCTGGGGGTTGGACTAGAAGACATCCAATGTCCCTTCCAACTCTGTTATTCTGTTCTATGCTAATCTAAGTACATGTGCAGAGGCTTTTAGCTGTTGGGAAACAAACCTTTATAACTGTTTGCCTTGTGTTTTTCTGGGAAGCTTAAAGCTTAAATATTGAATTTCCCTGGTAGTCTTATTCTACAAGCTAACTTGAACTCATCAAATTTGATTTCCAAGCCCAGCCAACACCTATCAGGGATTGATTGTTTTAAATGCCTTCTGATCCCAATGGCTAATATACGTCTTCCTCAATTTTAGGTCCTCTACCAGAGGCTTGAAAGTATGAGGGTTCTGCACAATATCTTAGCTGTTTCTAACACTGCACTCTTCTGCATAGAGAACTCTGTTGTTGTTCCTTGGATCTGTTGGAACCATTGTCCCATCTTAAAAATCATAGCCCTGAGTGCTCCTACCACCATCAGGACTACTTTGGATTTTACTTTTCACATCCTCTCACTCCTTTGGGTCCTGGCACTTCTCCATCTTCTCATACTCCTTCTTGATGCTAGTGTCACTTGGCACTGTTACATCCATCACCACTGCTGTTTTCCGGTCCTTGTTTACTACCACAATGTCTAGCTGACTGGCGGGTACCTACCCATCTGTCTGGATCTGGAAATACCATAGGGTCTTAGCTTTCTTACTGTCCACAATCTTCTGTGGAATCTCCCATCTGGACTTAGGAAAGTCTAGTCCATACACTACGCAGAAGCTCCAGTACATAATGTCACCTACGTGGTTGTGCTGCTCAGTATATGCTTTTCCTGCCTGCCACTTATACCCTGCCAATATGTGTTGAACTGTTTCTGGGTTCTCTCTGTACAGTCTGCACCTTGAGTCCTATCTAATGTGGTAGACATGGCTTGTAGGGATCTGGTGCTTAGTGATTGCTCTCATGCTTCTAAGATCACCGCCTCAGTGCTGTACTTTAGTTCAGCCCTTTCCAGCCACTGGTAGGATTTTCTGGTGACTGCCACCTCAGATACTTGTTGATGGTACATCCCATGCAGAGTCTTGATTTGCCATGGGGCTTCCTCTACTTGATCTTTCTTCCATGTCTGCTGCTACCCCAGGCATTCTTTTAGCAGCTCATCTTTGGGTGCTATCTTACTGATGTACTCATGGATGTTCCGGGTTTTATCCAGGACAGTGGCTTTGATTGTTTTTTACACGCACACACACACGCACATGCACACACACACACTTTTACATGATGTGAGATCCTGGTCAATGACCACTATAAAGACATCTGAAATTCAGTGATTTTTTTAGGATGCCAAAACGTTTTTCACAATTCAGAAATGAAAAACTTGTTCTTTTAGAACTCTTTTGTATTATTACCTATTTTACACAAACCTTTTAAAAAAGAGTATATTGTAATTTATTGAAAAATGATTTATTTTCTAAATGTAGAATTATTTTTGTATGCCTAATTGTATAAAATCACCATGACTAGCTTTGTTTCAAATAGTATTGTGTTAAGTTGTTTGAACGATGATGTAATGTATGAATATAGGCTTGAGTAGCCATGAAATGGTTACCGCAAATGTTTTTAGACTGACTGTTTTTCATCAATGCTCAATAAACATATATTGAAAACATATGAATGTGAAATGGGCCTTGAAGTAACTTTTTCTCCTTTGCATAATGTAAACAGTGATTATTTTTCAGTTGGCTGTCATAGCTGTAAGCAAAAAAATGTTAAAACTTATTGAAATCAGATGAAAAACCATGTAATGGTTCTAAAGAAATCAGATGAGCTTTAATTAGACTAGATTCTTTCCTATGCTCTACTCTGTTCACTATACCCCCACCTCTGACATTTCTAAGAAGTGGTCTTTGAGAAGAGTTATTTTCAGATCAGAAAAGAATTTGTGATTGACAAGGTAATCTAAATGAGCTGAAATTAGGAAGGAGATTTCATGGAATATTTAGTGCTAACTACAAAGTCCTATTCACTCAATGCAGCACAGGTAGAAAGTAGAGGGACTTTTTATTCTTTTCAATACAATGTGAATGTGAGGAAGAGATTAAGTAAGGGAATTCAGGATTTTGTTCATAAGTATGATAATTATAAAACTGAACAGAACAGGACTGTATTTTATGTAGGGAGAGACGCTGTCCAAAAGAAGTTTGAAAATTTATCTTATTTATCTGTGGAGTGTAGAAAAAAGATTCCAGGGAAAAAAAATCCCTCCCTTTCAGAGAGGCATTGATCTGGGATGTTGGTGACTTCTCTTTTCTAAGCAAACCGTCCATTGTACATCTAAAGCTTTATAGTTTAATTACCATATTTTCTGGAGTATAAAATGCATCTTCCCCCCCCCTAAAAGGGGTTAAAATTTAAGTGCATCTTATACACTGAATGTAGCCCTGCCCACTCACTGGCCCCCACCCTTTGGCCTCTGCCTCCCAGCAGTTTACCTCCTTGCAGCAAGCAGCAAGAAGAAACAGCTCGTTTCAGCTTCAGCACAGCCTAATTAGCACAAGTTGATTGGATTGGCCTGACTCTCAGCTGTTTTGCTCTCAGCTGTTTTGCGGGCCTCTGCTGCTTGCTGCAAGGAGGTAAATTGCTGGGAGCAGATTTTTTTTTTTCTTGTGCTAATCAAGCTATGTTGAAAATGAAAATGAAAGTAAAGCAGCTATTTGCTGTTTGTTGCAACAAGGTAAAATTACTAGGAGACAGAGGCAGATTTCTTTTTCTTGTTTTCCTCACCAAAAAAGGTAGGTGCGCCTTACAGTCCGGAGCGTTTTATACTCTGAAAAATACGATAGTCACATTTTCTGTGACTGAATTAGTACAACTGAGTTACACAACCCATGTATCTTCTGTTCCCAAGCACAGAGCAATGTAATACAGAGAGAAACATAGACACAGTTGATGATGCAACACATCACATAGAAGAAAATATGATCACTTCACTTAGAAGCTACACACTGCTTTTCCTATTAGAACACTGGAAAGGCAAGAGTGATATTAGTGCTTCACTGCTCTAAAGACATCACTCTGAGTGATGGTTTTCATTCTCCAAGAGAAAATTGATGTCAACTGAGAAATATCAATTAAGGTGACTTGTTCTGTAATGGTATCATGAGTGAACAGGATAGGACCTGGCAAACACTTTCCCCAATTCCTTAGGGTTTTATTTATTTATTTATAAAATTTATTTGCTGCCCATCGCACGTTCACTAAAAGGTTTCTAATTGTATGGAGGGGGTAGAATCTAATTTTGATCGTAAATACTTGGGAAGAACTTAATTGGGCTAATGCACTATTATATTTTAGCAGAAAAGTAATGATATCACATGATGATCTTTTAATACTTCAATGTAACTGCTGCTACTGGCGTATCTTGTGAGTTGGATCTTTGATATATTTTGGTTTTGCTATTAGTTTTGTGAACCATTTTTAGTTGGAAGACTGCAGAAAATATAAACCTGAGGATTTCTTAGAGGGCTTTAGAGAATTGTAGTAAGGAAAGTGAAAGAACATCCTAACAACTACTGTATGCTCTTTTTTTTCATTTTGAATATTTTAAATATTATAAATTATTCTAAGTCAATCTTTCCTGGTGCCCTCCAGGTACACAAGATTCAACTCCATCTTCAGTTTAATATGCTGGTTAACACTGTGGGAATTCTAGTACAACATGGTTGAAGTACGTAACATTGAGAGAAAACTGATTCAAGTTATAAATTAGGTAATGTTCCTTTCCTATAAACTTTATTTCAGACACTGATACCAACAGTATTTTTTATTATGAAAAGTATATATCAAAATGAGAAGGGGTCTTTTAGCTTAATTAGTCACATTATTTGTGGATATCTACCTATATTATACTTGCACCTGAATAGAAACAAGATAAGAAGGAATATTAAAATGGTTACTACAAAGAACTCTAGATAATTGTGGAAGGAAGGAAGGAAGGAAGGAAGGAAGGAAGGAAGGAAGGAAGGAAGGAAGGAAGGAAGGAAGGCATCACACTGGATCACCAGTATGATTCTTAAATTCAGCAATGTACATTGTAGTTTCAGCTTCAATTTTTAAGTTTGAAGAATAAATTTGCATATTCCAGAAAGAAAGAAACAGATTCAAAATCTCTGGGAACTTAAAAATAACACTGATGTCAAGTAAGTACATACATAAATATAGCAGCTGAAAATTATTCCTGTATAAAAAGTGACATAGATTGAAAAGTTAGACCAGGCTAAAATAGATTCAGTACATACAGATTTCTATCAGAGTTGGAGTCAAGTCTTATTTCTCCATTTAATAATTTCCCTGGCTTTTTATGAAATACCGGTACTTTGTGTTTCATTTTTTATTTCTGATAAATGTGTAGAAAAGAAGATTCCTATGGCAATTTAGGGTAGAAACCAAATGTGGCTGACTGGCATTCATATAACATAGGAGTTTGATCCTTTTTGTACCATCACATGCAGAGGTGGGTTTCAGGAGGTTCTGACCAGTTCCGGAGAACTGGTAGCAGAAATTTTGAGTAGTTCGGAGAACCTGTAGTAAAAATTCTGACTGGCCCCACCCCCACCTATTCTCTGCCTCCCAAGTCCCAGCTGATCGGGAAGAAATGGGGATTTTGCAAGATCCTTCCTCTGGATGGGGACGGAATGGAGATTTTACAGTATCCTTCTCCTGCCACGCCCACCAAGCCACGCCCACCAAGCCACACCCACAGAACCGGTAGTAAAAGTTTTTGAATCCCACCACTGATCACATGCTCAAATTTCAATTCTTAAACAGCATCAGACCAGTGGGAATTAGAAATCAAAATACTCTGTAATTTTATACCAAGAACTCTTGTTTAAACTATAGAACTCCAATCACATATGTGTGTTTATACATTACTGCAAATATTCAATAAAGCAACTTTGGACCTAGAAACATGACAGTGTTTACATAAATAATGGTTTACGTGAGCAAGGTATTGACTGGGTGGCTGTGGGTACAATTGTGAATTTTTTCACCTCCTTCCCTGAGGATACACTAGGGCAGTAACAAATGCACAACAAATGTGTAGCCACACAACTGCTGAAATGAAAGTGTGGTGAAAAGAGACCCACTGTACTAGCAATTTTGGGCTAAATCTCGAGCTAAGAAAGAAAGAGAAACAACTCCAAAATGTTAATGACAAGAAGGTAGATATTTCAGGATCAAATTTCAAGATTATCTGGGAAAAAATACGCTTAGCCCTTTAACTTTGCATTCTGAGAAAAAAGTTCTAATAATAATAATAATAATAATAATAATAATAATAATAATAATAATAATAATAATAATAATAATTTTATTTCTATACCGCCCTTCTCCCGAAGGACTCAGGGCGGTGTACAGCCTATTTAAAAACACAGACAAAACAATGATATAAATTTAAAATAATTAAATAAGTGGCTCAAATTTAAAACCCCAATAAATTTAAATACCCCAATTTAAAACTATTGTGTTGATAGTCCGGCCTGGCGGAACAACAGGGTCTTCAATGCGCAGCGAAACACCCGGAGGTCGGAGATCTTACGAATTTCCGGGGGCAGTTCATTCCACAGGGCTGGGGCTCCCACAGAGAAGGCCCTCCCCCTGGGCGTCGCCAGCCGACATAACTTGGCTGATGGCACCCTGAGGAGGCCCTCTCTGTGGGAACGAACTGGTCGGTGGGAGGCTATTGGTGGCAGAAGATGGTCTCGGAGGTACCCGGGTCCTATGCCATGGAGCGCTTTAAAGGTGGTAACCAACACCTTGAATCGCACCCGGAAGACCACTGGGAGCCAGTGCAGCTCGCGCAGGAGAGGTGTCACATGGGCATAACGGGTTGCGCCCATAACCACCCGCGTGGCCGCATTCTGGACCAGCTGGAGCCTCCGAGTGCTCTTCAAGGGGAGCCCCATGTAGAGAGCATTACAATAGTCCAACCGGGAAGTAACAAGGGCATGAGTGACCGTGCGCAGGGCGTCCCGATCCAGAAAGGGCTGCAACTGGCGAATCAGGCGAACCTGATAAAAGGCCCCCCTGGCCACGGCCGTCATATGCTCTTCTAAAGACAGCCGCGCATCCAGGAGGACACCCAGATTGCGAGCCCTCTCCGTGGGGGGCAAAGATTCACTCCCAATAGTCAGCGATGGCACCTGCTGACTATATCGGGGCGCCGGAAGCCACAGCCACTCGGTCTTGGAGGGGTTGAGTCTGAGCCTGTTCCTCCCCATCCAGACCTGCACGGCCTCCAGGCAGCGGGACATCACATCAAGGGCATCGTTGGGGTGGTCTGGGGTGGAGATGTACAGCTGAGTATCATCAGCGTACAGATGGCACTTCACCCCAAAACCACGGATGATCTCACCCAGCGGCTTCACATAAATGTTGAACAGGAGGGGCGAGAGGACTGACCCTTGCGGCACTCCCCATGCGAGACGCCTCGAGGTCGACCTCTGCCCCCCTGCCAACACGAACTGCGAGCGGTCGGAGAGGAAGGAGGAGAACCACTGCAAAACGGTGCCCCCTATTCCTAACCCCCTCAACCGCTGCAGCATGATACCATGGTCGATGGTATCAAAAGCCGCTGAGAGATCTAATAGGACTAGGACAGAGGAACAACCCCTGTCCCGAG